AATTTGTAGTAGACTCCTGTACCACCAATGTCTCCATACAGTTTATCAGCATTTTTGTGCTTTCAGGGTGTTGGTGTGCAGTAGGTACTGAGGAGGCTGCTTCTGAACAATGTGTTTCTGTAGAACTAGTGACACAAGACAGGAATCCAAATCCAGACCCATCTATCCTGAAGACTCTTACTTCGGATATGGGTGCCCTGGTAGAGAAATGTGTTTTGTACCTGACTGAGCACCAAGGAGTGCATTCTGGGCTGAAACCATCCTCTTCTGGGGCCTGTGGGAAAATGTTCACTTCTCACCTACAACATCACCAGAAGCAGCCCAGTGGAGAGAAACACCTCAGAAGCGAGGAAAATGGAGCCTTGCTTATGACGAGCTGCAAAGTCTTTTTCCCCAACAATATGTTCACATGCGGAGAGGTTGAGAAGGCATTCCTAAGAAGCTTGGGCTTTCCCCATCACCAGCCGTCCCACGATGGAGAGCACCCAGGTAGAAGCAGGCAGAGCAGGGAGGTCTCTCACCCTGGGCAAGGGCATTATGAGTGCAACGAATGTGGCAAAGCCTTCAGTAAGAAGTATAAATTCATGGAGCACCTGAGAGTTCACACTGGTGAAAAACCTTATGAGTGCAGTGACTGCGGGAAGTTCTTTAGACTCACCTCCAGTCTTACTCACCATAGGAAGGTTCACATAGGAAAAAGGCTTCATGAGTGCCCTAATTGTGGGAAAGTGTTTGCCCACAAATATAAACTTGTTGAGCACCAGAGAATCCACACTGGAGAAAGACCCTATGAGTGTAATCAATGTGGGAAAGCTTTCCTTCAAAAGGATACACTTGTTAGGCACCAAAAAGTCCACACTGGAGAAAATTCTCATAAGAGCAGTGAATGTGGGAAGCCCTTCCTTTACAGAAAAAATCTCCTTGTGCATCAGAGGAGAAAAGAAAAGCCTTATGAGTGTAGCAAATGTGGGAAGTCATTCGTCTTCAAAAAAAGGCTTCTTGATCACCAGCGAATCCACACCGGAGAAAAGCCTTATATGTGCAGTGAATGTGGGAAAGCCTATGTCTACAAAGGAAGTCTTGTTGTGCATAAGAGAAGTCATACTGGAGAAAAGGCTTATGGATGTAAATGTGGGAAGTTCTTTACAAGCAGCTCTGCCCTCAGTAAACACCAGAATGTTCACACTGCAGAAAGGCCTTATGAGTGCAGTGAATGTGGGAAAGCTTTCAAGGTCAAAATTAAACTTGTTGAGCACCAGAGAATCCACACTGGAGAAAAACCCTATGAGTGTAATCAGTGTGGGAAAGCCTTCAAGCTCAAGTATTCACTTGTTCGGCACCAAACTGTCCACACTGGAGAAAAGCCTTTTAATTGCAATGAATGTGGCAAGCCTTTCAGTTACAAAACAAGTCTTCTTGAGCACCAGAGAATCCACACTGGAGAAAGGCCTCACACATGCAATAAATGTGGGGAAGGCTTTGTCTACAGAAGAAGTCTTGTTGTCCACCAGAGAATCCACACTGGAGAAAGGCCTTATATGTGCAGTGAATGTGGAGAAGCCTTTGTCTATAGAAGAGGTCTTATTGCCCACCAGGGAATCCATACTAGAGGAAAACCTTGAGTGTAGTTCTTTGCAGGCAGCTCCAGGCTCATAAAAAACAAGAAAGTTCACACTGGAGAAATGCCCTCCAGACTTAAGCTTTCCTTCACTTGAGTTAATATCTAGCAGCATATAGAGTAGGTGTCATAGAGTAAGTGAAAATTTAACTTACGTGGAGCCAAACTTTCGTAGACTGGTAGTATCCTGTTACAGTCTTACCAGAAGCACCAGAACGTGAGTTCCTGTTCTTTACATTCTTATCAACACTTGGTATGGTCAGGCTTTCTAACTTCAGTGATGTAAGAGTTGTATAGTGGTATCTAGTGATTTTAACTAGTATTTCCCTATTGACATGATGTTGAGTAGTTTTTCATGTGATAATTTCATTCATAGTTTTTTGAAATTTCTGTTTATATGATTTGTCATCTTAATTACTGAGTTTTGACATTTCTTCATGGATTATTGATTAAGGTTCTCTAATGGAAATATCTGGCATTATTTTCATCCAGAATTGGTCTTCTCGTTTCAGTAGCTTTTCCAGAGAAAAAGTTTTCAGCTTTAATGGAGTCTTACTTGTGCATTTATTCTTTTACTGCTTATGCTTTTGGTGTTCTATCAATAAATGAAAAATGTTTCCCAAATTTAAAGACAGAAGTTTTTCTATGTTTCCTTCTGAAACTTTAAAGTTTAGTTTTTTTTATTGATGTAAATGATTCATATTTAGTTCATTTTTGGAAGTTCTTTTTAAAATATGGATACCCAGTTGCTGCAGTGATACTGACTTAAATACCTTCTCCACTGAATTGCTTTTGTATCCTCATTGAGGGTCAATCATATGTATATGTTTACTTCTGAACTTTATCTTCTGTTGCATTTATCTACTTTATTTATGTCAATCCTTTCATGTGTTGAATAATTTGTTGTTTTAATATGCCTTGAAATCAAGGTCATGTACTCCTTGGACTTTCTTTTTCAAAGTTGTTATGGCCATTCTTAGTCCTTTGCCTTTCCATGTGAATTTTAGAATCCACTTGTGAATTTGAACATCCCAAAAACCAACTAGGATTTTGACTGGAATTGCATTTAATCTTTAATTTAGAAAGGCATACTGAGTGTCCCAATTCATAAACATGATAGCTTCTTTTATTTAGATCTTAGATTAATTTTTGTTAGCAATGTTTTTTAGTTTTCTGTTTATAAGTCTCGTATGACTTAAACATCCCCAGGTATTTTCTACATAGAATGATATAGTGAATGGAAACTTTAAAAAATTTTTTTCAATTTCTGAATTTTTCATAGCTATTACAGTTAGATATTAAACTAAGGATAGAAACAATCCTTCTTGATCTTATAAACATCTACAAAGAGTTATTAGAGGGACTTCCCTGGTGGTGCAGTGGCTTAGAATCCACCTGCCCTGGTCCGAGAAGATCCCACGTGCTGCGAAGCAACTAAACCCGTGTACTACAACTACTAAGCCTGCACTCTAGAGCCCATGAGCCACGACTACTGAGCCCATGTTCCACAACTACTGAAGCCTGCATGCCTAGAGCCCGTGCTCTGCAACAAGAGAAGCCACCACAGTGAGCAGGTCAAGCACCACAACAAAGAGTTACTTCCACTTGCTGCAACTATAGGAAGCCTGCCTGCAGCAATGAAGACCCAACACAGCCAAAATTAAAAATAAATAAATTTATTTAAAAGAGCTATTAGAAATACTATACCTTTGATTGATTATTAAAATATTTGTGTTAGAATAAAAGGAGGACAGCTGCTTATTGTTCTGGAGCAGGCCCAGACCAAGAGTACTCCCTGGTGAGTGCCTTGGAAGGGTGGCTGGGTTGGAGCAGCCCAGGTGGGGAACAGTTTATTGGGGTTTTCTTTTTTGTTTTTAATTTATTTGGCTACATTGGCTCTTAGTTGTGGCAAGCAGGATATTCACTGCAGCATGCAGGATCTTTTCATTGCGGTGCATGGGCTCTTAGTTGCACAGGCTTCTCTAGTTGTGGCCCATGGGCTCCAGAGCATGTGGGCTCAGTAGTTGAGGTGCATGGGCTTAGTTGCCCTGCAGCATGTGGGATCTTAGTTCCCTGACCAGGAATTGGACCTGCGTCCTTTGCATTGGAAGGCGGATTCTTAACCACCAGACCACCAGAGCATTCCTTTTATTGACGATTTCTTTTCTCTTTCTTTTTAAAATTAATTTATTAAATTTATTTTTGGCTGCGCTGGGTCTTGTGGCTGTGTGTGGCCTTTTCTCTAGTTGCAGCGAGCAGGGGGTACTCTTTGTTGTGGTGGCTTTTCTTGTTGCAGAGCACACACAGGCTTTAGGCATGAGGGCTTTGGTAGTTGCAGCATATGGGCTCAGTTGTGGCACGTGGGCCTTAGAGCACATGGGTTTCAGTAGTTGCAGGGTGTGGGCTCAGTAGTTGTGGCACATGTGCTTAGTTGCTCCACCACATGTGGGATCTTCCTGGACCAGGGATTGAACCTGTGTCCCCTGCATTGGCAGGCAGATTCTTAACCACTGGACCACGAGGGAAGTCCTATTGGCGTTTTCTTAAGCAGTACTTTAGGGAAAATTTATCCCACATTTAACACTTATAGAAAAAAATGTGTCAAATCAAGGAACTCAGATTCCACCTTCAGAAACTAGGAAAAGAAAAGAGAAATCCAGAGAAAGCAGAAGAAATTAATATCAAATCAAATATGAATGCCCTACAACTACTGAGCCTGTGCTGTAGGGCCTGCATGCTGCAACTTCTGAAGCCCATGCACCTAGAGCCCATGCTCCAAAACAAAGAGAAGCCAGTGCAATGAGAAGCCTGTGCACCACAATGAAGAGTAACCTCTGCTTGCCACAACTAGAGAAAGCCTGTGCTTAGCAACAAAGACCCAACACAGCCAAAAATAAAATTTATTAAAAAAAACAAAAAAATAAAATTAACAACAAAAAACAACCCAATCGAGAAATGGACAAAATGGGAATTCCCTGGCAGTACATAGGTGGCCAACAGGCACATGAAAAGATGCTCAACATCACTAATTATTAGAGAAATGCAGATGAAAACTACAATGAAGTACCACGTCACACTGGTCAGAATGGCCATCATCAAGAAATCTACAAATAACATGCTGGAGAGGGTGTGGAGAAAACGGAAGCCTTCTACACTGTTGGTGGGAATTAAATTGGTGCAGCCACTGTGGAGAACAGTATGGAGGTTCCTTAAAAAACTAAAAATAAGAGCTGTCATATGATCCAACAATCCCACTCCTGGGCATACATCTGGAGAAAACTCTAATTGGAAAATATAGTGCACTGCTATGTTCATAGCAGCACTATATACAATCACCAGGGCATGGAACCAACCCAAGTGTCCATCTATAGATGAATGGATAAAGATGTATATAAGTTAGGAGTATGGGATTAACAGATACACACCACTATATATAAATAGATAAACAATAGGATTTACTGTATAGCATAGTGAACCATATTCATTATCCTGTAATAACTTGCAATGGAAAGGAATCTGAAAGAATATGTTTTACATATATAATTTTGTAAAATATATGTATATATTTTACATATTTTTTCATATTTTGATAGATGTACTGCAAAGCAATTCAGTACACCAGAAACTAACGCAACATTGTAAATCAACTATATGACCATAAAAAGACATTGTTTAGAAAATACACATACCAAACGAAAGTATTAAAACAGATACGAAAATTTTTCTTTTTTACAAGATCCTCAGCAAGTGAAAGGAGAGCCCAGTCTACAAGCATGATAGGAACCTACTAAAGAATAAACTATTAGGCTATTTCTTGGGGTGGAACTATCAGAGTCTGACTTGGGATGGAAAGGGCTTTGAGCCAGGGTTGCCAGTTCAGGATGTGTAGTGAATTCCATCAGTGGCCTCATTCTATCCACGTGCTCCCCATCTCCTCCAATGCTGCCACCCCAGCCCTCCCTACAGAGAGAAGGTGACCACCGACTCCTCACCTGTTCCACCTTGCCCTTCCTGCCAACGCCCTGAGTTCTGCCTCCTGCCATGGTCTTCATGGGATAACCCCCATCCAGGCCAGAAGAACTCCGTATGGGTGGGGGAATCTTGTGTGATGGGGCTGCCAAGAACACCTCAGTGGGCCGTACCAGCCACTGCAGGTCTGGGCTGGTCCGGATGGCAGTCACCCTTGGGATGAGGTTGGCACTGGAGCCGGCCAGGTCTATGCACAAGTCCTAGAAGGAAACAGGAGGGGAAAGCTGAGGGAACCAAGCAGGTTCTGGATACAGGTGGAGTGAGAGGGAGAAGAAACTGTCTTGGACTGCTCATTTCTTTTTATATGCCCCTCATCCTGGATGGAAGGTCTACCCCTTTCCTCCCAAGAATTCTGTCCCTTCATCCTGGATGGAAGGTCGCCCATTTCCTCCCAAGAACTCTGCCGCGCACTGCCTTTCTCCTCCATCCTGCGACTGCGCTCCCATTATTCCCTCAGCATCACCGGCTCGAAAGGGGGTTCTTATAAATGTACTCGACTTCTGTACTGACGCAGGAGCCCCTCAAGAGTTTCCCGAGTGAACTCGCTTTTTATCGGTGAACTGCCTTACCACCCGCCCGCTTCCCCTCCTCCCCGCCCCTCCTGCCTGCTCCAGGCTGCCAGCGGAGGGAGGGCGCCCACTTTCTGCCGTCTCCCCGGGGAGCCGGGGTCCTGTGAGCAAGTCTCTGCTTGGCACGCGTTTGCTCGGCTCCCGCCGGACACAAGCCACAGCGCGCGGGCCGGAGCGCTCCAAAACAGCCGGCGCGGAAAAGGGACCATTCTTACCGGGACAAGCGTGCGTGCGCTTCCAGCAAGTCCAGGGCTCCCGGGACCGGGATGCTCCGACCGGGACAGCCTCCCTCCCCGGCGAAGGAGGGACGCCGAACCGCGAGTCCCGCGAGCCCAGCCTTCCTGCGCATGGTCGGGAGAGCCAGTGCCGGAGGACTCGGCCAGGAAGTGACAGCAGGAGGAACCGTCCGCGGCCCGGAAAGCGATGCAGCAGCGGGAGGACACCACGTGGTAGCACGCCAGGCGGTAGCGGGCGTTGAAGCGTGGCGTGCGTTGAAGCCGGAAGAATTCAGGGTGGTGGTAGGGTGCGGCTGGAGCGGGGCCGGGGCGGGGCGCGGTCCCTGCCCATCAGGCCGGCGGCTGGGTCCCCGAATGAGGAGCTAGCAGCCCAGAGGCGGGGAGCACCCGGCACCGCCTCCACTCTTTATAACAGTGTTTATGAATGAGACCTTACGTCACGGGGGTAAACCATCGCGGCGCCGGAGGGGTGGCGTGCGGGCCTGGACACATCTGCACCCTCTTGGCCGCCCTCGCTTCTCTCGCAGCCCCTGCCGCCCGTCTGCCTGTGTTCCTTTATCATACGAGCGTTTAAGTAATGGGGTGTTAGGGTCCCGTGAAGCCCCCAAATTGAGCGAATTCGGGGATGACCTCCCCCAAGAAGGCAAGGAACGTCCGTGAAGCCTGCTGACGTAGACCTCCTTTGGGCATTACCTAATTTGGGGGAGGAACAGGCGGGAGCCGCTCCCGGGTACAGCCCGCCAGAAGATGCAGGGCGAGGCAGACAGGGCCGCGCAGAGCTCCCGGGACACTCGTACGTGTTCAAGGCGGACCCTTGTGCCCCGGGTCTGGTGGGGGCGCCTTTTTGCCAGTGTAGGGAGAGAGCCGGAACAATTCTGGGTCTCATGTATAGAAGAAACAGGTCCATGACTGCAAGGGGGTAAGCCGTGGTCCTGGAAGGAATGCGCCCCGACCCCCATTTCCGATGTTAGTCCTAATTCAGTGCGAACGGTGGAAGCAGACCCTCACCCCCTCGCCCCAAGCCCCCGGGCCCGACCAATACTAGGATTGTCACTGCGTATGGAAGCAGAAAGTCGGGGGTGTCCAAAATAAGAGACTAGGATAAACGACTTCCATGCTGGGTTTTGTTTTGTAAAACTTTTTAAATGGAAACGGCGCATTTATTATTATTTTTCTCGGCCTATGTGAGGATATTAGTGTTACTGTCAAATTCCGGCAGAATTTTCGGAAGCTGCATGCAAGGATGTCTGAGCAGATCGTTAGCCTCGTTCTGAGCTGGGGCTCCGGAGACGCGTGGAGGGGGCACGTTTTGTGGACAAGATCGTCAGCTCCGGGGAACCGGGTGGGGTGAGCTTCTTGGGGGAGCGCAAGTCCGAGCTGGGGAGGTGGGAGAGGTTCGTTCCTCCAGGGCGCTAGGCTGACTGACTGGGAGCCTCCAGCTGGTGATTTTCCAGCGCGGACTTGGGGCGCTGGAAGGACCGTGCACAGCACAGCCCAGGGCAGAGAACACTTACACACACACACACACACACACACGCACGCACACCCCAAATCCAGAACATGGCAAATTCTGATGGGCAAACGACAGAGCAACTTCAACAAATGAATGGCCCAAGAATTTTAAAAAATGAAATGATATCTGTAAGTGAATTGAGACTTCCCAGATACATCTACTAAAAGTCATATAGATCCATTTTGGATCTGACTGCCTTAAAGAACAAACATATTTTTGGGAAAATTGAAAAAGAAACTGAACACTGAAAAAATATATATATATTTAAAAATGTATTTATTTATTTTTGGCTGCATTGGGTCTTCGTTGCTGTGCGCTGGCTTTCTCTAGTTGCAGAGAGCACGGGCTTCTCATTACGATGACATCTCTTGTTGCTGAGCATGGGCTCTAGGCACGTGGTCTTCAGTAGTTGTGGCACACGGGCTCAGTAGTTATGGCTCATGGGATCTAGAGCACAGGCTCAGTAGTTGTGGTGCATGGGCTTAGTTGCTCTGCCACATGTGGGATCTTTCCAGACCAGGGATAGAACCCGTGTCCCCTGCATTAGCAGGCAAATTCTTAACCACTGCACCACCAGGAAAGTCCTGAAAATATATCTTTGACAACTCAAAATTTTGTCTGAAAGTTATTAGGATTATGAAAGAGTCCTTACGTTTTGGAAGTACATTCTGAGGAGATTAGGCATTGAATGACAAGATGTTGGCATTATAAGTAACACAACCCAGTTATATGCGTGAGGACAGGTGAAACAAGAATGGCCATGAGTTGATCAATAATGATGGGGTTGAGGCTTCCCTGGTGGTGAAGTGGTTAAGAATCCACCTGACAATTCAGGGGACATGGGTTTGAGCCCTTGTCTGGGAAGATCCCACATGCCACGGAGCAACAAAGTCCCTGCGTCACAACTACTGTGCCTACGCTCTAGAGCCTGTGAGCCACAACTACTGAAGCCCACGTGCCACAACTACTGAAGCCCAAGCACTTAGAGTCTGTGCTCCGCAATAAGAGAAGCCACTGCAATGAGAAGCCTGCACACTGCAACAAAGAGTAGCCCCCACTCACCACAACTAGAGAAAGCCTGCGTGCACCAACAAAGACCCAATGCAGCCAAAAATAAATAAATAAAACCAATTACTTACTTAATTAATTTTAAAAAAAGAGTTGTCATTTCCAAATTATTTTACTATGTTTTACTCATATATATTCCTGAGGTTATTTGTGACCACTCCATCAGCATGGTGGAAATACATTATAATATTGTTCTACTGCACACTCTTCCCAAATCCATGTTTAGTGCCATCCTTTTGGCAACTTGAAATTGGCCAGGATGGGCATAGATACACCAGAAAAACTGACAAAAACTCTACAAAATGGGCCTTGTTTATTTGAATGGCTAGACTTACGAAAGTGGTGGAGAATATGTTAGGAAGGTAGACAACGCTTGAAAGTATATAGACTTTGGAAGTGTTACACTCCCAGAATAGCAACAAACAATTGAGAAAATATTCTGATAGTATTCAAAAATAATACTTCCTTTTAGTAAAGATGACACATCACTGCTGAGGAATGAGTGAAGTTCCAACACCTGTCTTTGTTAGACATATGTCTTTTATTTATTAATGGAAAAGGAAACATCAGCCAACATCCATTTCAAAATAAGCAACTGGTAGTAACAGTCGTTAAAGAAGATATACAAGTGGCAAATAAACAGGAAAAAAATGCTGGACATCATGAACATCAGAGAACTGCAATTAAAATCACAGTGAGATGCTATTACACCCCTGTTAAAACAGCTAAAATTAAACAGACTGACAATACCGAGTATTGGCAGGATGTGGAGGAATAGGACCTCTCATATACTGTTGGTGGGAACACAGAAGTGTCCAACCAGTTTAGATCACAATTTGGCCGTTTGTTAAATATTGAAACATTCACATACTCTGAAGTAGTGGCACAAGAGAATTAAAACACATATTCATATAAAGAACTGTATGCCTATGTTCATTGCAGCTTTATTTCTAACAACACCAAACTGGAAACAACCCAACTGCCCATTAGCAGATGGATAGATAAACACATAGTAGCATATCCACAGACAAGAATACTACTCAACAGTAAAAAAATGAACTATTCATACAAGCAACATTGATGAATTTCAAAATAATTAGGCAGTATGAAAAATATCAAAAAAAAAAGAGCAAACACTTTTATACTTCAATTCAACTAAAATTCTAGACAATGCAAACTAATTTATTGTTGAAGGCAGTAAATCACTGGACTCCTGTAGGCTTGGGAAGGGCAACAAGAGATTGTAAAGGGGCATGAGGTAAGTCATGGTTATGTTCATTATCGTGATTCTGATGGTTTTATGGGTTTATACATATGGCAAAAATTTTCAAACTATACACCTTAAATATGTATAGGTTACTGCATGTCAATTATGCCTCAATAAAGTTTCTAAAACAAATGGTTCAAAATAAAAAAAATCTGGACCTCTCCCTCTTTCTGGAAACCATAAAGTTTAACAACTCAATATTGACTCCACTCTATTTTTTCCCTTTCCTCAGGAAGGGCAGCCCTGAATCAGTGCTGGAAATATGGGCAAGCAATGGAGGCCGCTGCAGTCTGGGACAACAGGACCACTGGCTAGACCACAAAAGGCACATCCCTGGACAACAGGATCTCCATTCTCTGTTCTCATTTCCTTGCCTTTACAGCAATGGACTTGAGTTGACCAACCCAGAAAGACAATGAGAATTCACAAAACCTTTAGATTGTTTGCTGACAATGAATTCAGCTATAGGAGGTACACAGCCTTTGGAGGGTCTGTGATTCCTCACAGCCACAGTCTCTGGAAGATTTATGGACACACATTAGAAGAGGCACACTCCATTTAATTTGCTGCATGCTCTTCCACTGACTATTAATCCCACTCAGAATTTTACTACCAAGTATGGTTGAAACCCAGCTCCTGTAGTGTGAGGAGGGATACCAGTCCACAGAATTATGAACATCAGGACACTTGGTTCCTTTGTAGAACCCGGTGAAAAGCTTCCCCTCAACAGTACTGGGCATTATAGGACACCCTCTGGGAATATGAGACAAAGTCATGGCAGTCCCAAAGGCCCTGGAGCTTGCCAAAATAAGTGACCCCTCCTCAAGGTAACCTGTGGTCATACAATATGTAGACTGCCAGGTCCCAAATTAGGACCACAAAGCATTATTTTAGTTCCTAGGAGGTCTTGGGGAGCAATGCAAATTAGGCTAAAACTGGAATGAAAACTATTCTCCTGTCATTATACTGTCCCTGCTGAGGCACAAGAGGCTGAGGACCCATCCCTTCATACAAACAGGCCAATTCTGTTTTCCACCCACCCCCCACAGTGAATACAACCCCCATGATTAAAGGTAGATTAAACAATAAGACCTTTATTGCTGCACAAACCAGAGCAATGGTGGGGGGAGGGGGCAAGGCAATTACCAGTTGGTGACTTTGAGGCAGGAATATCAACCACAAATGTCATGTGAAACCAACAATTTTGATGAAGGGTCAGACTCATACTTAATCAACTGGAAATAGGAAAATGTAAGGGCACAGACTACTCAAGATTTCCTCCAGGGAAAAGGAGAGAGCACAGACATCTGCCTTGTGTGTTAGCACATCAGGGTGACCAATGAAATACTGTGCAAGGCAGGAGAGGTGAGGTGGGTTCTACCAGAGAAAATGTCAGAGATGTAACTCTGACAAGGGCCCTGGGGAGTTTAGAACATGGACTGTAGCTCCTGTAAGCTTCACAGGTCCCTGGAACTCATTGGGAATATCACCCCTCTGGAAAGTGGGAGGTATGAGGTTCAATTTCAAGGCAGGCGGCTCCCTCACAGAAGCTGTCTAGTGCTATTATAATGAATGAGGAGACAGCAATTCCTTGAGGTCTAAGGCCTTTCTCAGAGTGTGGACTTCCTGGTACTAAACAATGTTAGCTGTTTGGAGTAAAGTATTTCCCATACTTCCTGTGTTCATGGGGCCTCTCCCTGGTGTGAAATTTTCGGTGGAGATTGAGGCTGGAGCGCTGGCTAAAGGATTTCCAACATTCGCCACATTCATAAGGCCTTTCTCCAGTGTGAACTACCTAGTGTTGAATAAGGACAGACTTTTGCCTGAAGGATTTTCCACACTGCCCACACTCATAAGGCCTTGCCCCAGTGTGAATACTGTAGTGCTGAATAAGGCTGGTGCTTCTACTAAAGGATTTCCCACACTCGCCACATTTATAAGGCCTTTCTCCAGTGTGAATTCTCTGGTGTTTAGTGAAGATGGCTCTTCTGCTAAAGGACTTCCCACACTGGCCACACTCAAAGGGTCTTGTTCTACTATGAATTCGCTGGTGTTCAACGAGGCTGTAGCTTTGTCTGAAAGACTTCCCACATTCACCACACTCATAAGGCCTTTCTCCAGTGTGACTTCTGTTGTGCCAATCGAGTTTGGATTTGGATCCAAAGGCTTTCCCACATGCCCCACACTCATAAGGCCTTTCACTAGTGTGAACTCTCTGGTGTCTAATGAGAGTGGCTCTTTGGCTAAAGGATTTCCCACACTGGACACACACAAAAGGCCTTGCTGTGGTGTGAATTCTCCGGTGTTGAACAAGCGTGAAGCCTTGTCTAAAGAATTTCCCACATTCACTGCACTCATAAGGCTTTTCTCCAGTGTGGGTTCTCTGGTGCCGAACAAGATTGGATTTGCACCCAAAGGCCTTTCCACATTCCTCACACCCATAAGGCCTTTCTCCACTGTGAATTCTGTAGTGTTCAATAAGATTGGAGCACTGACTAAAGGATTTTCCACACTCGCCACATTTATAAGGCCTTTCTCCAGTGTGAACTCTCTGGTGTATAATGAGGGTGGCTCTTTGCCTAAACGATTTTCCACATTCACTGCACTCGTAAGGCCTTTCTCCAGTGTGGACTCTCTGGAGCTGAACAAGTGAGTACTTACAGCGCAAGGCTTTCCCATATTTGCTAGACTCATAAACCCTTTTCCTAGTAGGGACACTTGGGTGGTAAACAAGACTCTGTTTGTAGCTGGAAGCCTTCCCACATTCACACAACTTGTAATGACTTTTCCTACCATGAAAGGTCTCCCCACACTTGGTGATTTTGTTGAGTTTCTCACAAGTGGGAGTGATCTGGTGCTGGAGAAGACCCAAAGTAGCTGGGAAGTCCTTTCCAACCTTCCTACAGGTGAAGGGATGCCCTGACACATGGAATATGCAACTCTTTACAAATGATGCCCTATCCATGTCACTTTTATTTGCACTGAAATGCTTCTGAAGCTGTCGTAGGTTTGCACATGCCCCAGTCAAGTATGGTTTCTGCCCAAGTAGGTAAGCCAAGTGCAAAATGTCTTTCAGGATTAGGACACATTTCTCACCGGGGTGAGCCTTCTGGCTGATTAGACCTACCTTTGGAGTCCTGACCTGTGACAAAACTTCTAGGGAAACATTTTGCCCAGAACGTGTCTCTTTCTTCTCTGTTCCATGCAAACAAACTGAAAAAAGAGAAATATTTGTGAATCATGCTGATTATGATGGGAGAGTATTAATCATGTTCTTTTATAAGCTTTCTGTATAATATGATGTTTTGACATCTTAAAAAACCTTCATGGGCTTCACTAGTGGCGCAGTGGTTGAGAGTCTGCCTGCCAATGCGGGGGACACGGGTTCGTGTCCCAGTCCGGGAAGATCCCCCATGCCACAGAGCGGCTGGGCCCATGAGCCATGGCCGCTAAGCCTGCGCATCTAGAGCCTGTGCTCTGCAATGGGAGAGGCCACGACAGTGAGAGGCCCGCGTACCGCCAAAAAAAACCCCCCAAAAAACAAAAAACCTTCACGGCCAGGGAAAGAGTGGACTTGAACACTATAAACCAAATGTATCTAACAGACATATATAGAACATTTCATCAAATACAGAACACACACTACTCAACAGTGCAGGGAAAATTCTCCAGGATAGATCATATGGTAGGCTACAAAACAAGTCTTAACCAATTTAAGAAAACTGAAATCATATCAAATATCTTTTCTGACCAAAATAAGATAAACATAGAAAATAATGACAGGAGGAGAATGGGAAGATTCACAAATATGTGGAAATTAAATAACACACTCTTGAACAACCAATGAATTAAAGATGAAATCAAAAGGGAAATCAAAAAATATATTGAGACAAATGAAAATGGAAACACAAAATACCAAAACTTACGGGACCCAGCAAAAGCAGTTCTAAAAGGGGAAGGTTTTATAGCAGATACATATCTACACTAAGAAAAAAAGAAAGATTGTAAACACACTATCTTCACACTTCAAAGACTAGAAAAAGAACAAACTAAGCACAATGTTATCAGAAGGAGGGAAACAGTAAAGATAAAAGTGGAAATAAACAAAATAGAGACTAGAAAAACAATAGAAAAGATCAAAACTAAGATTTTTTGAAAAAGATAAAATTGACAAACCTCTTAGACTAAGAAAAAAAAGAGAGGACTCAAATAAATAAAATTATAAATGAAAGAGGAAACATTACCATTGATCCCACAGAAATACGAGGATCATAAGACACTACTATGAATAATTATACACCAACAAATTGGATAACCTAGAAGAAATGGATACATTCCTAGAAATATACAACCTACCAAGATTTAATTTTGAAGAAATAGAAAATCAGAGAAGACCAATAATGAGTAAGGATATTGGATCAGTAATAATAAACCTCCCCCAAAAGAAAATCCCAGTGTTTGATGGTTTCACTGGTAAATTCTATGAAACATTTAATACTAATCCTCAAAAAAACTGAAGAGGAGGGAACACAACAAAACTCATTTTACAAAGCCAGTATCACCCTTACACCAAAGTCAGATAAGAACACTACAACACAAGAAAATCAAAGGCCAATATCCCTGATGAACATAGATGCAAAAATCCTCAGCAAAATACAGTAAACCAAATTCAACAGCACATTAAAAGTATCATACAGGGCTTTCCTGATGATGCAGTGGTTAAGAATCTGCCTGCCAATGCAAGGGACATGGATTAGAGCCCTGGCCCGGGAAGATCCCACATGCCACAAAGCAACTAAGCCCGTGTGTCACAACTACTGAGCCTGAGCTGTAGAGACCACAAGCCACAACTACTGAGCCCATGTGCCACAACTACTGAAACCTGCGTGCCTAGAGCCCGTGCTCCACAACAAGAGAAACCACAACAATGAGAAGCCCATGCACTACAACGAAGAGTAACCCCTGCTCACCGCAACTAGAGAAAGCCAATGCAAAGCAACAAAGACCCTAGACAGCCAAAAATAAATAAATAAATAAATTTATTTTTTTAAAAAAAGTATCATACAGCATGTTCAACTGGGATTTACCTTTGGGATGCAAAGACATTTCAGCAAACACAATAAATGTGATATACCACATTAATAGAAAGAAGGATAAAAATCAGATAGCTGCTGAGCCTGCGCGTCCGGAGCCTGTGCTTCGCAATGGGAGAGGCCACAACAGTGAGAGGCCTGTGTACCGCAAAAAAAAAAAAAGAAAAAAAAAAAAAAGAAACTAAGAACCAATTCCTTTTATGATGATAAAAAGACAAAACAAAAAACACCCTTAGGAAGAGATTTAAACATGGAGGTGAAAGGATCTTTATACTGAAAACTATAAAACATTGATAAAAAATATTAAAGACAGAACTAAATGGCAAGAGGTCTTCTCTTCATGGATTGGAAAAATTAATATTCTTAAATATACTACCCAAAGCTATCTACAGACTCAATGCAACCCTTTTCAAAATGCCAATGGCATTTTTCACTGAAGTAGAAAAAAAAATCCTAAAATTCATATGGAACCACAAAAGACCCTGAATAGCCAAGGCATTCTTAAGCAAGAAGAACAAACATAGAGGCATCACACTTCTTTTTCTTTTTTTTTTTGCTCTACACGGGTCTCTCACTGTTGTGGCGTACAGGCTCTGGACGCACAGGCTCAGCAGCCATGGCTCACGGGCCCAGCCGCTCCGTGGCATGTGAGATCTTCCCGGGCCGGGGCATGAACCCATGTCCCCTGCATCGGCAGGCGGACTCTCAACAACTGCGCCACAAGGGAAGCCCCGTCACACTTCTTGATTTCAAATTATATATATTACAAAGCTACAGTAATCAAAATAGTATAGTACTGGCATAAAAACAGACACATAGAACAATGGAACAGAATAGAGAGCACAGAAATAACCCTCTGCATATATGGTCAACTAATGTTTGCGAAGGGGGCCAAGAATACAAACTAGAAAAGGGTAGCCTGTTCAATAAGTGGTGCTGGGAAAACTGGATATCTACATGCAAAAGAATGAAATTGGACCCTTACCTTACACCATACACAAAAACAACTCAAAATGGATTAAAAACTTACATGTAAAAAAACCCCAAAAAACTTACATGTAAACTCAATATCAAAGAAAACAAACAAACAGCCCAATTAAAAAATGAGCAGAGGATGTGAATGGACTTTTTTCCAAAGAAGACATACAGATGGCCAACAGACACATGAAACAATGTTCAACATCACTAACCATCAAGGAAATGCAAATCAAACCACATGAGGTATCACCTCACACCTCTCAGAATGGCTGTTACCAAGACAACAAATAACAAGTGCTGGTGAGGCTGTGGAGAAAAGGGAACGCTTATGCACTATTGGTGGGAATGTAAATTGTTGCAGCCACTATGGAAAACAATATGGGGACTCCTCAAAAAATTAAAAATAGAACTACCATACAATCCAGCAATTCCACTTCTGGGTACTTATCTGAACAAAACAAAAACACTAATTTGAAAAGATATATGCACCCCTCTGTTCATTGCAGCATTATTTACAATAGTTAAGATATGGAAGCAACCTAAGTGTTCTTATCACACACACACACACACACACACACACACACACACACACACACACCAATTAATAATGATGATAATAATAATAAAGGGGTGGGAGGCAGTGGATATGTATGTTTATGGTCTTGATGGTGGTGATGGTTTCAAGGATGTATACTTATTCCCAAACTTATTGAGTTGTATCCAGGAAATGTGTACACCTTTTTAAATGTCAATCATTCCTTAGTACAATGGTTTAAGTATAATGGTTTAAATATAAATAAATAAATAACTTTTAACATTTACTAAAAGGGACCAATGGTCAAACTTCGTAAACGTAATTATTAGTGGGGCTCAAATTATATGTGAGGATTCCACTACTTTTTTGGCCACACAGCATGCAGGATCTTAATTCCCCGACCAGGGATCAAACCCACACCCCCTGCAGTGGAAGGACAGAGTCTTAACCACAGGACAGTCAGGGAAGTCCCAGGATTACACTATTTTTACACACCATAACTGTATACTCTTAGGAATGTAACTAAATACAAAACAGAGAAAAATAGGTATGTCTCACTTGAACTGTAGCCTTTCTTAAATTTTCCAATGTCATAGCACCCAAAACTATCCCATATTGGGCACAGCTGCTCTAACATGCTGAATAATAATTTTAAATTAACATAAGTCTTTGACACAAATTGGCTTAATAAAATGGTACCTCACAGGCCACCCAGTTAAAATAGGTAATATAGCCCAATGTATGTTAAAACAGGGCCTTCAAGGATTAAAACTTACTATAGAAAATCTAATAAATGAAGGGGTGATTATCCCCACTGTTTTTCCATTCTAAAGCCCAATTATGTCTGTCCTTAAATCTGGAAAAATTAAAGGTGCCTCATGGTGGATTACTATAATATTGTGGTCCCATCCATCAGGACCCCATATCTAACATCAGTAAAAATTATATATCATATATACATATTGTTAAATACTAATTATAAATATTATTAAAATTACCGACTCAATCAGAACTCGGGACACCAGGTGTCATGGATCTGGACACATTCATTCTGCCAGAGTGAGGGCAAACAAGGTGAGATGCTTTGTTTTAGGCTGACTGCAAGACTCCTAAATCCGAGATCCTTCCCTGCAAGCTTGGTGCAACAGGATTTAGAACTACTTGGGGCGGGCAGTGCACACAGCTCAGCACTGGTACCCACAACACATATGCCAAGAAAATGGGGAAGTTAGCAGAGCCCATGGTCTGTCTGTGGAAAGGGCAGAGCTGCCTCTGGGGGACAGAAGGTAAGATAGCGACCAGGACCCTTGGGTGAGGGCCTTACCCATTGAGGCTGTAAGTAAAAAGTTCTCCAGCATCACCTTGTGGTACAGGCGTCTCTGAGCCTCATCAAGGAGCCCCCACTCCTCCTGCAAGAAGTAAATGGCCACGTCCTCAAAGGTCACACAGCCCTGCCAGGATGAGGACAGATAATTCCATGATCAACTTCTCTTCTAGGACCCAAGTTCCTTCACCCAGACATCCATCCCCTGCTCATCCTCCTTCCAGTGTTCCCACCTTAGAGAAAATATCAGGCCCTGGAGCCTCAGATACCTGCTCTCTTCTCATGGTATCAAGATCACTGTGTCTGCCCACACCAACAAAAAGCACGTGGGCAGGGAGACGCCATCTAAACTCTGAGCCTGGCATTAGGGCATATGTCCTCTTGTCAGGTAATTCCCCTGGAGTCCCAAATTGTGCCTCCCAGAGACAACCAAATGTGGGCTTAGGGTTTCTTCAGGGTCTCTAGGTCCATGGACTGGAAAAATCCCAGGACACAATCCCAGAGACAAAGGGTGGGTCAGGACCATTGAAGGCCTGGAATATCCTCCACTCACCTTTGTACAGTCCATAAGCACTTCTGTAGTCATGGGAGTCTGTAGGAAGAGGGAGGTCATTAGAGGGATGTAATCATGGCAGGCTCAGTAGGCTCAGGTCTCCCTGTACCCCTGTCCAGCCCTGGAGCAAGGTGACCTGGGATGACTGCATTATCTCTGAGTCTCTGTTCTTCGTGCTCTTACAACTGTATGATCTTGGATAAAAACCCAACCGCCCTGTGGCTCAGTGTTTTCATCCCCTTTCCAGTCTGTTCTTACTCTGAGCAACTTCTGGAAAATTTGAAAAGCCTAACTCACACCATGTGCCTCTTCTATTCACAACCCTCCATACCGTCCTGAGATTAAAACTCCTCAACTTGCCATCCCAAGTGGGAATGATTCTGGCTCAATCGCCCCTCCACAACTTTACATAAACCGGTCCCTCTGCCTGTAACACTCTCCCAACATCTCATCACACTGTTTTTTAGATATGGGGACTCCACCCATGAGATACTCACTCTTCTGGACACAGAGATCTATACTGCATAGACATGAGCAGGCGCCCCGCACTTGGGTCTTTAGTGTCTGGTGGGGTGAGGGCGGTCAGGGCCAGTAGGACGAGCGTTTACCTGAGGCGGGTCCCTCGGCGCGGCCGCCGCCATCGGAATCTGGGAGGAGCGGGGTCTTAGGTGGTGGGCGACAGAGACGGAACTCGTGTACAATCGTCATCTACCGCCGCGGCTCTGCAGACTCGCCGCTGTGCAGTGGGGACAACCTCTCCTCTAAAGCCTCCTCGCTCTGGTCACCCCGATCCTGACTCCGCTCTCCTAAAGTACCCGTATCGCTGTTGGACACTGGAGCAGCCATAGTGACTGCCACAACAGCGGCGCCAGAAGTCCCACCCACATCCTCTGGTCCGAACGAGAAAACGCCCTGCTTTCGGGCGTTCATTGGCTGCTAGTCTTGGCCCTCGGCCTCCGGCATTGTGGGTAGCGTAGTTCCCATGGCCCCACCAGCCACAGAGGAGGGAGCCCACACCGAGATCGCGGAGTCCCGGAGGCCATGTTAGGGCTCTATGGCCCGGGCGTCGGTCTACCCTGGGGCCTGTACGGAGGTTGCCCGGAAAGTGATCGGATGAGGGGTCGGCGACGCTTCGACCCCACATGGGAACACCTACGCTGACCCGGGTTGTCGCGGGCTACATGGGAGTTCTTCCCCGGCGCGGGGGTTGGGGGAAGACACAGTCAGCACCCTTTGCGAAAAGTCCTGAGTTCCCTCCCTTGTGTGAGAGCCGCTCCCACCCCTCTCCGACCCCTGACCGCAAAACGGGCTTGTGATCTGACCAGATCAGGGTTGGCAGGTTTGGCTGCGCCTCCTGGGGTGTCGCCTGGAAATGTCGGGAGTTGACTTTGTAGGCGAAAATTTGAGACTCTGCCTCGAGGGCGTCAGGCGGGGACTCGGCTTCCGGAGAGCAGCGCGGACTTGTCGCTGGCAACAGGGGTGTGCGCTTGACCTCTGTAGGGGGAGGGGTGAGGACCTTCATCCTGGGACCAGCAGTAGAGACCTCGTGCCTGAATCCCAGAGGGGCCGGGGGAGACCGTCTGGGGGCTCCAGGTTGACCCTTCCCAGGAGGACTCTGGTGAACCCGGGAACCTCCGCGGGGTCTGGAGGTCTGAGCGTCCCTGCAGCTCCCTGCTCTCCCCCGGGGAAAGGCCCCAGGGCAACTCGTAGCCTGCATCTCTCCTGGACCGGCCGGCGCCCCCTGGCGGCTGCGTGTGAAAGTTGGGATTCGGCCCTTAGGTGAAAAGGGGGGACCGCAGACTCTGCGGCCAGGAATGGAGACTCAACCCCAAGGGGAGTGCCATTAAAGACGTCCACGGAGGTGCCCACTCTCCCTGGATGTCTCCTCCGGCTCCCGCACCCCCCTCCTCTCTGCCTGAGTCACTGTGAGCCCGCAGCCAGCGGGCTCAGTGACTCAGGCAGAGAGGAGGTGCCCACTCTCCCTGGATGTCTCCTCCGGCTCCCGCGCCCCCCTCCTCTCTGCCTGAGTCACTGTGAGCCCGCAACCAGCGGGCACTGTAGGGTCCGGAGTTGCAGCCTGTCCCTTCTGCCACACCCACTGTGCCTAGGTCTCATTGTCCTCTCCAAGATGCGACCTCAGATCACACATGGCTTCGCTGCCTTGAAGTGCATCTGTTCCTGGAGGAAAAGAACTAACGGCGTTCCCTTGGAACACGGGAGAAGGGAGAGATTGTCACAGAACCACACCCCCCCCCTCCAGCGTGGAGCACAGGGAGGACCCTAGACCAGCCTGCGCTTGGGCCAGGGTCCTTCTGAGGGAGGCCCTGCTGCGGATGGGGTAGGCTGGCAGTGGTTTCCCCACCGCCCACACCTGCACGTCTTCCCAGAGTCGGGGTGTCTGGAAAAGCGACACAATTCAATGCGCGATTCTGCTGAAGCATAACTCATCCCGTTATTAAAAGAGAGGGTTGTAAATTACTTGAAGAGAATTCCTAGACTAGGAAACCCCTATGGGGAGGTAGGACACCGTCAAAGCCTAAATGCAGGCAGCTAAGGGATCGTTGCTGCTCTCATTCCCTCCTTGCCCCTCCACCAGCTGCTGCAATGCTGCCTGACCAGGGTAGGAGCATATATATTAGGGCACCCTGTTACTCCTAGGTGAAGCCTTTCTGGGGTCTCCACTGACCACCTAAGTTGTTCAGGGAGGTATCCCCACTCTGGTCGGTCAGGATTCTAATATCACCGGCGCTGTGCAGCCTGTGCAATCTCCGGCCGGTTCTCAGCCCTAGCCGCAGTTCTTTGTGCATCCCTGTGAAGTCTCACGCTGAACAGGCACAGTTTAGCTTTCTTCCAGACACCTTGGTGACCCATGCAGATTTCTCAGGCATCTTCATTGCTCACATACCATTTTCGGTCAGGTCCACACAGGAATTCAATCCTCCTCCTCTGCCCTGAGCTTTGACTGCATGGAAATCCACATAGTACAGCATGAAACTTCCAAATAATTTAAAGGCTGGAAGAAATATGATTTGAGTAGGAGCCCCTTCTAGAAAGAGACTTACTGGAGTTAGGGAAATTATTTTTTGAGCTGAATAAGAGGGGAGGAAAATCCCAAAATGACAGGCTCAAGTCATATTATATACTACATCTGTTCCTAATAGGATATGTCTACATCCTGTTGCAATCAGTTTTGCTATGCGCAGTTTACTCACAGAAAGAAAAATGGCTTTCCCTGACTTATTTGGGGAATAGAAGAGGCACTATGAGGAAAGGAATTTTACATGTGGGCTGCAAGTGCGACTGGGATGGGCACGGGGGAAGAGGAGCCAGGGAGCCTCAGAAAATGGAACAGATAAAGCTTTAAGGAAGTGGTGGGCGAAAGGGAGTTTTCCCGTTAAGAAAGTAGGTATCAGTCCATGTTTGTTCACTGATGGGAGGCCAGAAGAGAGGGGAAAATGGAGGAAAAGGATCATGAAAAACAGGAGTAAATTACTGTAAAATAAAGGATCAATAAAAACAGGAGTAAAATACTCCTGTTTTTCAGTAAAATGTCAACATCATTATACACGTGGGAAATTCTAATCAAAACCGTGAGATACCAGTCTACATCTACCAGGATGACTATGGGGAGAAAAGGGGAAATAACAAGTATGGATGAGGCTGTGGAGAAATTGGAACACTCGCACATTGCTGATGGGAATGTAAAATGCTGCAATGTGGAAAACAGTTTAATAATATGAAAACTGGTTTAGCAGCTCCTCAAAAACTTAATACAGAAATGCCACTGGACTCAGCAATTCCACTTCTTGGGAAACCTGAAAGAATTGAAAGCAGGGACTCAAACACATTCGTGTGCAACAATTTTCATAGCAACATTATTCACGATAGCCAAAAGGTGGTAACAACTGAAGTGTCCATTAACTCATGAATAGAGTTTTAAATGTGGTACATTCATACATTGGAATATTATTCAGTCATGAAAAGGAATAAAGTTCTGATACATGCCACAATATGATGAACCTTCAAAACATGCCAAACAATTAAAGCCAGACATGAAAGGAAAAATATTGTACGATTCCACTTGTAAGGAATATCTAGAATAGAAAAGCTTGTACAGACTGAAAGTAGATTAGAGGTTTCCAGGGGCTGGATGGAGAGGGGAATGGGGGATTATTTCTCAATGGATACACATTTTCCATTTGGTTTGATTTTTTTTTTTAAGCTAGGGGTGGTAGAAGCAAAATATTGAAAATAATCGGTGGGCTAAAAATTTCGGTTTTTTTTTCTGTAAGATGGCTATAGTAGCACTTAGTTGTCTTTAACTTCATTTGAAACAATGTTGTTAGATCTTATGTGACAGTTGTCATATCAGTATGCATTTTAAAAAAGACTTATCGAAATTGGTGAATTTTTGTGTAGCCATTTGAATATTGAACATGGAAGAAAAAAGGCAACCTTTTGGTATATTATACTTTATTATTTCAAGAAAGGTAAAAACACAACTGAAATGCAGAAAAAGATTTGTGCATTGTATGGAGAAGGTGCTGTGACTGATTGAACATGTCAAAAGTGGTTTGCAGGGGCTTCCCTGGTGGCGCAGTAGTTGAGAGTTTGCCTGCTAGTGCGGGGGACACGGGTTCAAGCCCTGGTCTGGGAGGATCCCACATACCGCGGAGCAACTGGGCCTGTGAGCCACAACTACTGAGCCTGCGCGTCTGGAGACTGTGCTCCGCAACAGGAGAAGCCGCGATAGTGAGGGGTCCACGCACCGCGATGAAGAGTGGCCCCCGCTTGCCACAACTAGAGAAAGCCCTCGCGCAGAAACGAAGACGCAACACAGTAAAAAAAAAAAAGTAAATTAATTAATTAATAAACTCCTACCCCCAACATCCTCTTTAAAAAAACAAAAAGTGGTTTGCAAAATTTCATGCTGGAGATTTCTTGCTGGACAATGCTCCACGGTCATGTAGACAAGTTGAAGTTGATAGCGATCAATTAAGACATTAACTGAGAACAATCAACGTTATACCACACAGGAGATAGCCAACATACTCAAAATATCCAAATCAAGCGTTGAAAATAATTTGCACCAGCTTGGTTATGTTCATCGCTTTGATGTTTGGGTTCCACATAAGTTAAGCAAAAAAACCTTCTTGACCATATTTCCACATGTGATTCTCTACTGAAGCATAATGAAAATGTTCCATTTTTAAAACAAATTGTGACGGGCGATGAAAAGTGATACTGTACAATAATGTGGAATGGAAGAGATCATGGGGCAAGCGAAATGAACTACCACCAATCACACCAAAGGCTGGTCTTCATCCAAAGAAGGTGATGTTGTGTATATGGAGGGATTGGAAGGGAGTCCTCTATTATGAGCTCCTTCCGGAAAACCAAACGATTAATTCCAACAAGTACTGCTCCAAATTAGACAAACTGAAAGCAGCACTCGATGAAAAGCGCCCAGAATTAGCCAACAGGAAACGCATAATCTTCCATCAGGGTACCACAAGACTGCATGTTTCTTTGATGACCAGGAAAAAACTGTTACAGCTTGGCTGGGAAGTTCTGATTCGTCCGCTGTATTCAACAGACATTGCACCTTCGCGTTTCCATTTATTTCGGTCTTTACAAAATTCTCTTAATGGAAAAAATTTCAGTTCCTTGGAAGACTGTAAAAGGCACATGGAACAGGTCTTTGCTCAAAAAGATTAAAAGTTTTGAGAAGATGGAATTATGAAGTTGCCTGAAAAATGGCAGAAGGTAGTGGAACAAAAGGGTGAATACGTTGTTCAATAAAGTTCTTGGTGAAAACGAAAAATGTGTCTTTTATTTTTACTTTAAAAACCGAAGG